CCCCCCCCCCCCCCAAAAAAAACCGCAGGTACCCCTGTATGAGCGCGGCTATGAGAAGGACCCAGCCAAGGTGCGCCCCAGAGCCCCCGCCCTCCCCCGACCTGCCATTGCAACTCGCCTTCTAGAGCCAACAGCGCGCCGCGCGCCCCGACTCCCTCACCCCTGCAGCACCCGCGCCTGCCCTTCCGCCGGCGCCCGCTGACGTCATGCCCGTCCCCACTGCGCCAGGTCGCTGCGGAGGCCATCCGCGTCGCGGAGCGCGACGGGCGCGACGTGGTTCTTGTTGACACCGCCGGCCGCATGCAGGTGCGACGAGGCGGCCGCTCCGCGTGCTTCTCGCGACCCGCCGGTCGAGCGGGCCGGCCGGGGGTCGGACCTTCAACAACGCGGCGCTTGGCCGACCGCGCCAAGGGGGATCCAGACGCCGCGCTGCGCCGCAGGGCCGCGTGCCGGCCTCCAGCGCGCGGCCGCCGCGCGTCTCTTCCCGCCGCGCGCCCGACACACCCATCCGCCGCGCGCCCCTGTGCGCCCGTTCGCGTCCCCTTCCGCCCCCGTCAGGACAACGAGCCGCTGATGCGCGCCCTGAGCAGCCTGATCCACGTGAACAGCCCCAACCTGGTGCTCTTTGTGGGGGAGGCCTTGGTGGGCAACGACGCGGTGGACCAGCTCGTTAAATTCAACAGGTTTGGGGGCGGGGTGGGGGCACGGTGTGCGTGTGCATGTGCGTGTGTGTGTGTGTGGGGGGTGCGGCGGGGTGCGGTTGCCCGGCACGCACAGCTCAATTGCGGGACCCGGATCAAGCGCCGCGCGAGGACGCTGGGGCAGATGCCCTTTTTCCCTGCCGCTGACGAGGGCGCGGGGAAGCGCAGCTCGCCGGCGTCGCATTGCGCGTCCACATGATCGACGGCACCCCCCGCTCCCGCCCCCGGCCCTGCGCAGGGCGCTGCACGACCTGGCGCCGTCCACCGCGACGCGCGGCCACATGATTGACGGCATCGTGCTGACCAAGTTTGACACCATCGACGACAAGGTGCGGAGCTGGACGCCCCTTTCCTCCTCCCGCGCCGCAGGCTCTGCGCGGGGCGCCGCGCGGGCGCTTCAGATGTTTGATTATCCCGGGGCGCCGTGCGTGAACGGAGCCCAGTCTGTCGATGCGCTCTGAGAAACTGTGCACCCACGCACGCGCGCACGCACATGCCCACGTATATGCTCTCTATGGTTCGTTTCTCTCCTCCCTCCCGTGTCCCTCCCTCCGCCTCCCGAGCCCCCTCCATCACACACCCTCCCCCCAAAATCACTCCCACCCCCTTCCCAGGTGGGCGCCGCGCTGTCCATGGTGTACGCCAGCGGCGCCCCCGTCATGTTTGTGGGCTGCGGCCAGACCTACGTGGACCTCAAGAAGCTCAACGTGAAGAGCGTCGTGCGCTCGCTGCTCAGCTAAAGCGGCCCCGCGCTGCGCCCGACGGCAAACGTCGGCGGCGACGGTGTGGGTCGCGTGACATGGCGCTGCCTTGCGGCGCTGTGCCGCGGAGCTTCCCCCTCGCTTCTGCTGAGGAAGGGGTGTGCTGTGCGTGCGTGGCGGCGGCGATGTGCGGCAGTTGAGCCGGGTTTCTACTTGATTTGATCGGATCGCGGCGTCTGCGGGGCCTCTGCGCTGCTTCTGCGAGGGCGGGGCGCCCGCGGTGTGCTGGTCCCTTGTCCTAATGGCTTTATCGGCTTGTGCGTCTCTAGTGCTGAGCGTGTTACTTCGCTAGAAGGATTTGCCAGCTTCTGGTGAGGGTGGATGCGCGAGGCGCGTCTGCTCTTGAAATGATGTAAAACCCACCCCCTCTGGGCAACTGGGAAGGGCCTCGCCTGCTCGACTGAGTCGCTTGGACTGCTCGCACAGTAGGGTTCTGCTATCAGCCACGGTCAAAATACAGGCGCAAGTCAGCCTTGCCTGACGCTCAGCGGCGGTCACTTGGGAAATCAAAATCCCGCCTCATGCTGCGATGTGCGGGGTGCGGGGAGGGGGGGCGCCCGTGTGGCGGTCTTGGTGGCGCGTGGCGGCTGCCGTACCCTCTCTGGCGGCGTGCTGGGCCACCAATTATCCACACACGGTGACAACCAGGTGGTAAACCATACATCAAAACCCTGTCAGAGGCCGGGACATGATCTGTTGGCCGACAGGCCGTTTTCCCTGTCTCCTCCATGTTCAGCGTCCACCGCTTGTTCCGGTACCTTTGCAATCTGAAGACCGCCATCATACAGCCACTTTCAACGCAGTGTACTGTCGGCGACAACGTTGGCCACATCAGCTGGCGGACAGGCCACTTCGAGCAATCTTAGCCCTTCAGGTGCGGTGCAAACTCATGAATATATGTACATGTATCACCTCACGCCGTAGCGCGCCTTGGAGCTGACGTAGGAGGGGGTCGCGACCCCCCCGTCGCGCAGGATGGTCAGGAGCGGCTTCATCTGCATATGCCCTCAGAAATCTGTGTGCTTAGACAAAGGCCACCTTCACCGCGATGAGTGAGCGCAGACGGGGCGCCCCGCGGCGGCAGTACATGGACGGGCAGGCCGCGCGCGACAGCACTGCGGCGCCGCGGCTGGTCGCGGGCAGAGCCTGCAGGCCCTCCATCGTCCCCGTTCCGAGTTGCCTCCCGCCCTTCCCGCGCAGCATCCCTCGCTCACCGCGCCTTTGGCTCGTCAAATCAAGTCCCTACCTCCCCCCCCCTCAGGCATAAGGAGCAGCTTCACACCGAGCTCAACCAAACCGCCGAGGCCGAGGCCGGCGACGCCTCCGTCCACAACACCTACGCCTTCCTGCCCGGCGGCGGCGTGCGCGCGATCAACCCCGGCCCGGGGCTCTCGTTGTCGCAGAGCGACACGTGCTTCGCCATCTGCAAGGGGTGCGTGCGGCATGCGCCCCGCTTCCCTCCCGGCGACCGCGCCCCTCCCGCTCCAGTTTATCGGCAGCGCACCCTCCACGCCCTCCCTCCTCCATATCCTGGGCTTTCTCCGCATCCTCCGCCCAGCCACCACGTATGCCACAACTCGGGTTTCAGAGCAAGACAAGAGACGTCCCCCTGCCCCCCCCCAAACAAAAAACTTTCCAGCAACCCTCACGTTGATGGCACTCTCCCCCCTGTCCTCCGCAGGCACCTCACAAACCGCCCCGCACTGATCGCGCGCGTCGGGGA